AGGTATGCACTTATTTTATAACAGTTTGTAACAAGAAAGAACTTCTCGAGGCCAGTGATTGCTACTGTGTTGTTCTCACCTCATTCTGATGTCAAAGATACACTCTCGTTGTTGTATCGAATTCGTTTTATGAACTTGAAACCTATTTATAGTCATTTAACTCTCATTCAACGCCAACCAATCACGAGGTTTAACTGTCAATGACCCGTTTAAATCAACGCCGAAAATGTGAAATGTGTTTTTGTTGAATGAGAACTCGATTAACAAACAAAACTTTCGTTACGGTCATCTGTGATCTATACGTGAACAGACACACACCGAAATAAACTACCTATTGACTGGGTTTAAGGCCATTTAGTATAGTCTTACTGGTGATGATTAAAACAAATCTAGAGTTTTACAAATACAATATTTTTAGGGCCATTTAATGCTGCCACTGAGTGGTTGCTATAATTCTGAGAGTTCCCACGAACGTACTTAGTATTAATTATACATTTATAGATTTTTTTTGATTGAAGACAAAGTGGCAAAGGCCTGAACTGTTAGGTTTTTCACTGAGTTGTATCCACACGGAATATTTCAAACAAGGACGTTGTGAAAACTCTGTTGTTTTCCAGCTAAAGCGCTGATCGTTTATCTTGTGCAAAAGTATATTCTGATCCAGAGACTATAAACATAATCTTGATTCTGATAAAATTTTGTTAACATTTTTCACTCGTAGTTTTTTTGTACATAATAGGCGTAGTTCTCAAGTGTGTTTTCCACGCGCACCATATACAACCAATTTATGAAATAAATTGTTAAAAGTTAACTCACAAACTTTCAGTTCTTTATGGCAACGGCAGATAGCTTATCCTACTTGAAGAAAAGCGAGTGAGTGTCGAGAGGATTCGGGACTGCAGAGTTGGTTTGGAACTTCGTTCTTTGATTGGCCCTGCAAACTCCCGCCACCCTATCAGCCAATCAGAAGCGTACCTGCAACCAATCATGACTCGGCAACTCATGATTTCTCTCGTTTCCCACCGTTTTTCTTCGGTTTCTCATTGGCTCATTGTGATTTTCCCATGCTTCTGATTGGCCACTTTGATTACTTTGGTTTGGTTTTACAACACTAAAACGAAAAAGCTCCCTGCAGCGAAAAACCGAGAAAATAGATTTTCTTTTTTTTTTTTGGGGGGGGGAAGGGGTTTTGCAGCTCTCTTGAACCGGGTATCAGCAGAAGTTATATCACTTCCCCTCGTTGATGTTTTCTTTTCGCTCCATTCAGTGTCCAACACAAGCATCTTGTCGCAATAGAATGACTAACTGAATAAGTGAGGCATTAGTTATATTTTGTCCTATCAATGATAAACAAATGAAGCGTTCATGATCAGCTATGATTTGTTTAGCATCCGCTCGTCAAAATATGATTTATTCGTTTACCTGCGATCAGATTCTTTTACAGAAACGAAGAACCTACCAAAAATTTGCCTCGCTAGAATTGTTTGGCTTTGTAGCTCAATTGTTAGTGGCGCTTACCTAGTATTTGGGATGCACAAGTTTGGAGCCCTTCCAGGCTCGAGCTTTTCCAATTTTAGCTCTATGCAAGGATTTTATCTTCATTCAAGCAAGATTTTAGGGTACCTACCTGGTCCGCGAGTTAGAACTTATCGGGCGTCACAGTGTAAACTCAAATGAACCTACCCAGGTTACACAAACGACGGAGCTTTGCGTGATGTGATGATAAATGTGTCCACTAAACGGCAGACCTAGTTTTCATTTATATACCGTAAAAGGGTACTCCCCCAAGAGGTTTGTGCCCAATTGAGATCATGATGGGTCGCGCCCAGTCCTATTCGAGCACCATTATCCAGAGGGATGTTTAGAGATTTTGCCGAAATCTTGAGGTACTGCAGTTAGAACTAATACCATTTGCATTACTTTTAGTACACATTCGAACAGTGAGTTGAAGCGGTTAATCCCGATGAAAACTGTGCAAAAGTTGTTCAATGTTTACAAAAAAACATTTTTTTTCTTTTCACGCATGGGGAAGGAAATTTGATCTTTCTACTCAACGAAGCAGACACATTTTGTGACTGTCTGGTTGCGGACCCATCTTGCCTTCTTTCGTTTCCGTAAATAACAAACCCTACCTCGTTACAGAGTCAGTGGGAGTACATCAGTCAGTAATCGCATAGCACTCGAAATTCTTAAGTTTCAATGTCCAGAGTTCCGCATTGGTTATTCTGTCAACCAAAGCTTTCAGTCTAAGACTCTAACTCAACCAAAACAATTAACTGCTTAGGCTTAAACAACTATGGTAAGATTGGCAACTTCGCTGATTTAGTCAACCTCCTAATTATCGGTATGAAACGCTCACTGTGGCTTGTCCTCGAATTACATGCTCGTCCCCAAGCCTTAAGGAGTGACGAGCATCTAATTTCTCCCTACCATCCATGAGTCAGTGATTGAGGTCACGAGAAAATAGGAAATAATCATCAACTTAAGGCAGTTCTAAACTGTGAAACAAATTCTCCTCGTCAGTAGCTCAGGAAAAATAAAGAAGATGGTGTGGAGAATATCCATACTGATGTAAAGGCGTAAAAGGGTAAAGAGTTCAACTTTCAAACAACTCTGTTTTGTTTTGTTTATTTGACAGTGTTCTAGATGCTGGATGCACTGTTACTTAAAACCATCTGAGTATATCGAAAACGTGTCATTCTTAAAGTTTGTAGAATGCTCGATAGTAAGACTGATAATACTAATAATGACGACGATTTTAGATATATGAAATTCATATATTTGCACTGCGGTGAAGAAACGAATGTAAGAGATCCTCGCAGCTCATTTTTCACCACTTGGATGGTTCATCTGGACCCAACATATTGACCAGCTCCCAGTTGGCTTAATAGCTCAGTTGGTAGAGCGCTGAACCGGTATCGCAGAGGTCATGGGTTCAAATCCCGATAAGGCCTGAATTTTTTCTAAGTCCTATTTTCAACTATTAGTTCAGTAGTGTTCTTAGCTGCGACGATCTCTTAAATTCGTTTCTTCACCGCAGCGCAAATATATGAATTTCAAATATCTAAAATCATTATTCATCTCTTGCATAGTTTATCTGGACACAACATATTGACCAGCTCCCAGTTGGCTTGTTAGCTCAGTTGGGAGAGCGCTGCACCGGTATCGCAGAGGTCATGGCTTCAAATCCCTTACGGACCTGAATGTTTTCCAGGTCCTATTTTCAACTACTAGTTCAGTAGTGTTCTTAGCTGCGAGGATCTCTTAAATTTGTAACAATAGTGATATTGATAATAATTATCAGTGATATAAATATCATTTAACAGGCCCTATGTCTTGGCGCTTATCCTGGGAAATTATCAAAGAAAACCTCAACACTTAAAAAAAAAACCGTTGTGTTCTTTATTACTTCATTGTTTCATAACTTATCTAATATTCTTACATTCACCAAAATATTTCTCCAGTGTTTCTTTTTCTTTCAATTTCTAGAATACATTATTCAATACCATTTGTCAATGACTAAAATGGCTTCTTGCTAACTACATAGGAAATAATCAAATCTGCTCATCACTGCAAACTGCATGATCCTAAGAACGAAAATATAGGTAATATTTCAACGGAATAAACGTGGCTGTGATGAACAGAAGCAGTACCACAAGTATGAGGAACACGTCCGCGTCCTTAATAAAAAAAAAAAAAAAAAAAAAAAAACAGTTTCTATTCTAAGGAAGATGGTTGTTGGCTGAAACCTAGTGACCCTTTGGGTGAATCGAAAACCGATTAAGCATTAATAAGCATGCAGTGAGTTTTTAACGAAAAAGTGTGAATTATTCTTGTTGCTGATAATTCAGATAATTATCGAGTAATAGAGTAGTTTTCAATTGACTGTCTTAAAGCCAAGACCAAGATAATCACAACCGCCAATCAAAACAAAGGTTTGCGTCATCATTAGCCAATTAGGATTCAAAATTAAAACAAGCACACTTCCAAAAGCGCGGGAAAACGTGGGCGACCAAGTGATGTTGGCTTTCGTTTGGCATCTGATCGGTTAAGAGCATGGCGCGATTATTCTAGACCTATCACAAACCGAAGCAAAGCAAAACAAAGGCAATCCCGCAAAACTTTCAACACTCAATTGAAATTACTCAATGATGTCAAGCTCAATACTCAAATCTTTGACATTTTCAAAGATAAAATCAAGCGCGGGACAAACTAACCCTTACAAGTATGATAAAGAGAGATCACTTAACAAGCGCTACATTCTGCACCAAACATTGAACAAAGAAACCGATCAGACGAACTTTACAAAAGAAGAATCTGGGGGCTTAAAATGATTTCGTCCCGATAAAAACCAAAGACCCACTTTTCAGCTGGATTCCTATTCCTACAATTACTGTAATCAATGGGAACGAGGAATGACAAGTTTTTGTTCACTTGCGCATTAAAAAGAAACAAAAACAAAATCATAAATAAGATAAAAGTTCACGTATCAAATCAATACTTTAAACAATTATCATTATCATTTCTGTGTTAGCGACGACTTCTTTGTCTCCTAAAAATACATATTTACATCACCATTACAATTCAACTTTTGGTTCTTATTTTTTTGGAAAAGTATTTGTCTTTGATTCAAAGTCCTTCCCGACTCTTAACAAACTGATTGGCAAGATTTTATAAAAGAATTCCCTCGAAACAAACCTAACCTAACCTAACCCATCCCACCCCAGCCCTTCTAGTGCAATCCTTACCCACCCGCACGAATAAATTTGACCCCACAGCTCACCCACCTCTTCCCGATTGATAACACGTTTTGATCAATCTTAGTCTAACAATCTCGAAAAATTGGCATTTCTACCAAAACTTCCCCACTGCGGGGCATGCAGATAATACGCTTTGTTTCCATAGGATCATAATTTTTTCAAGAAAAGATTCTTCCTCCCACCAGACCTTTTCCAACCACCCTCCCTTACTTCCCTTAACCCCCTTTATCCCCCCCCAGAGAGACCCTCAAAAGCAGTGTCGTCCCCACAGACCCTCCGCTCTTCCTGTTGTCGTCAGGACCGCCACTAGTCCGATGACTCCGCACGACTTGAGCAGCCTGCAGCGAAGCTAACAGATCATCGGAGTTTTTACGGAAAGGGGCTGAGGGTTGCGGTTTCCCTTGGGTTTAGGGCGAACCGCTGGGGAATTTTCGGTGCCGGTGCCGGTGCCGTTGTTGTCGGAGAAATGCCCTGGGGAGTGTTATTCGCTGGAATGCTAACTTCCTCTCGTGGCTGCCACACACCTTCTACGGACTTCCGGTTTTCCTCTTTGGAAGCTTCACCTCCCCCTCTCCAGTCTTTATCCGTTGGTTCTTCCTTCTTTTCGGCTTCTTCCGCCTTCTCCTGGCTAGGTGACTGGGATTTTCTGGTAGGCGAGATGCTCCGAAGCCTTGGTATCACGAATCCTTGTTCCTTATCAGGTGTCTTATCCACAGAGTTGTCGCTCTCTTCTCTGGGCGCCTTACGAAGCCGCGTCAGCTGCCGCTTTACGATATCTTCCGATGAGATTGCTGGCACGGAGGTCTTCTTAAACGACGATGATCCTGGAGATGGCCCCTGAGAGCTCACTCCTATCGGACTTGCTCCGATGGGACTTGCTGCTACGTGGCTTGCATGATCCGCTGTGGGAGAGGGTAAACTGTCCCTTCCTCGTAGCGAGCCCCTCTCTTGGGGATCCTTGGAGGCAGATCCCTAGGCCTGTCTATTCCACTGGATGAAATCTTGGGTGATGGCGACAGCTCGCCGGAGATCGAGATATTCCCTTCGCCATCATTTGCATCGACATCGTCGTCTGTCAGCATACGAATGTACCTGGCTGGCACAAAGCCTTCAGTTCCATTGATTGTCCCGTCCCACCATTCCGGGTTAAATCTTTTGAACACCTGAATAATGTCGCCTTTTTTAAAGGACAATTCCTTGGAGGATCGAGCTGAGTAATCATATATCGCTTCGGCTTCCCTTGGCTCCAGATCTGCAGGAAAAAAAAGTAACCATGACTGTAAGAAAAAAGACGACGAACTGGCATGAAACGCACGAGTACTGCGAGCGCTCAGCTCGCTGTTAAATCGCGTTTTATATTAACGTGTAGGCGAGTTGCAGAGTTCGTTATGAGCAAGTGAGGTTCAAAAGAACCGGAAGTAAGAGAGATGGTTGCAATTTTTAGCTAATATGGACGTGTTGACTCTAAGAATGTTTCAACATTCTATTTAATCTAAAAAGATATCTTTTAAAAGCAATGTTTTAAATGCTTTAAATACTTGACGCACTCCTCATTCTCTCTCTCTTCCTTCTGAGAGGGCATTAAAAATCGTTCCATTCTGAACACTTACCTTCCTCGCTCTCACTCTCTTCTGTCTCAGATAATGGCGCTGGTAGCGATTCTCCAGAGCCAGGGAATATCTCGTCACAATGTTTAATAAGTAATTCTATCATTCCATTCACTTGACTTTGATAAGCTATCATGTCTTGTTCGGACGGGATACGTAACAATGTCGGGCCGAACACTACCGCCAGATTGTGGGCGTCCATCTTGTTAGATTCACTGTGCTGTGCAACTCTGCCGAGAGACGTCATACCGTAGAACATTAAATTTTGGGGGTTCAATTTTGCGAACGTATTCTTTGTTATGGGAAGTGGCTATAGAGTAGCAGTTTTTTGAAAACTTCTAGAATGCCTTGTCACGGCAATGTGGATACTCGAACTTTCTGATGTCATACCATGGAACTGCCTGGAACATTCTATTGGGTTATGTAATAATGATGTTATTTTATCTGAAATTGCTGTGTTGTAGTCTTCAAGAAAGTTCTAAAAAGAACAATTGCTGTTGTTGACAGAGACCGACTGTCTGAAAAGCTATACTGACTGAGAGCTATTCAGGTCGTTTCGCCTACGGGTCGTTTCGCCTTCGTCCAGAGTCGGTTCGCCTACGATTCATATGCATGAATAACACTACAGCAGTGCAAAAGCGTGGAAAGCATGATAATTACAGTAATTTGATTATTAGGGTACAATTGCAACATTGATATATATCATAGCATTTATCCAATGTTGCAAAAAGGGTCAAATCAATTTGTCTCTCATGTCAAAGCGCGGTGAGATGAACCCAATTAACATGGTAATCATTAGAGTTCATTAGTTGTGATATCAAATTTTCATGCGATGGTTTTCGAACATCATCAATTTTTGTTTCAATTGAATCAATTGTTTTATACAATAATTGTCATAGTACGGGGTTTAAGACGTAGGCGAACTGACATATTGGACGTAGGCGAATCGACTCTAGACGTAAGCGAAACGACCGTAATTCCTTGAAAGATTGTGTATTTCGAGGAGATTTAGAAGCAACATTCACTTTGCGTCAGTGGCGAACTAAGTTTCAATCTGCATTGGGCTAAAGTTATAATAATTTGGGACACGTTGTTTAATAGGGAAGTTCGGTTTTCAGGAGAGTAGCATTCTTTCTGGGTAAATTACATTGTAACATCTTCGATCCGATGAAAACCATCAACTAACAGAGCTTTTAAAAAAGATTGACTTATAATACTTACAAGCTAAGGAAAGAAAACAGATACTCCATCACTCGAACCACTGATTCAGGAAGCGAACTGAGTGCAGTCATTATTTCTTTGATACCATCTTCTACTGACGCTGACACTTCAGATAAAGAGAGGATAGTGCACCATAATCAAAGATCCAACACAACTTTAAAGTACAAAATTCAGATTTTTTTTTTTTTTTTCCAGACATATAATTTCACAATAAAAAAAACCCCCGAGATGATAAACCTTGGTGGGCTGAGCACAATCACCGCAGGTAACCTTGCATGTTTTCCCGCCCTTTACCTGGCCCTAAAACTACTTGCTGTCCTCCGCACCGGTTGCAGGCCCTCCCGCCTTGGGCACTGATCGCATAATTACCCAGTGTTCGCAGCAGTTTCATATTTCTCACTCTTAACGCAGGTAGGACAATTTTTCACCCTGGGTACAAGTTATACATTATTCCGCACTTGGCATTGAACGTAAAATTTCCCCTTGACGTAGATTGCGTAATTCGCGCCCTTTCAAAGGTTTAGCTCGCTTTTTTTTCTTGCTATGTGCAGGGGTTTCATATTTTCCGCTCTTGAAAAAGTTGTGAAATTTCCCGCTCTTCACGCTGAATTGCAAAAGTCAATACCAGTTGCTGTACAAGATCCCTCTTTTGATAAGACCTCAACAATTTTCCAATTTTTAAAACCGCTTGCTTTCCTCAGCCATGGCATCTACTCTTTCCCTCTCATCCACTATCCTCGGTTATAAGCCAGGAGGGCCTCAGTCTTCGTTAGAAAAGAGGAACTACCCTCATTTAACAATATAACGAGATACTTACAGCTAGCCTTAATGAATTCTTGATAATGTGAACTAGGAAACAGAGGATCTTCCAGTTCCCTGAAATAAACCCGGAGTAAACCAGCCACGGCGTTGATATCTTTCCAATGATTTAGACCTGCTAACGGATCACGACCTACCAAAAAAAAAAACCGCGAATTTCAGCCGCAACGCGATAAATGTACAGTGAAACAAAACGCTCCCTAACTTTCAAGGCAGTTACCATTTTCAAAAAGTTGTTTCATGTCGTTTATTTCCGTTGTGGATCCCGATAACCGAAATATTCCTTGATGGTCCAGCCCTACGAACACAATAAAATAAATAAAAACTGTTATGTTATGACAGCATACTTCCCAGGGCAGCAGACATAAACTAAAATAAGGGATTTTTTAAATCCTTCGAGGCCCCAGAATCGTCATTCTCTCTGACGAAGGGTTACCGCTCAAGACGTCAGCTAAAAGGGACTTTAAGAAAACCACGACGGCAACGACAACGTCACTAAAAAAAAAGTTTAATGAGAAGAACAATAGCTGTGCACGTGCGTTATAAATCTTTGTAAATTTCTTTGCGTCCTCTGCAAAACAACAACGTGAAATGACAAACCTGTGTTCCATATTCAGTTTCGAGATAGTTTTGACAGTGAGAAACAAACTAAATGACTTTAGAGTATCGCAAGATTCGTTGGTAAAATATAAGTTCATTTTTTAACCGACGTTGTCTAAGGCACCGCCGCCGTCGTCGTTTCTTAAACTCCCAAGAGATTTTCTCAACGGTGGCCAATTCACATTATCAAATCAGTTAATAAAACTTAATTAACTAACCAGGAAGGCCGAATTTCAAGTACTCACCAAACTTTTTAATAAACTTGACACAACTTTCTACAACCTCTGGAATTTCTCTTCCTGTAACCTGAGAAATAAAGCAAACTTGAAACAATCAATTTAACCGGCTAACAAGAGCTTCTTAAGACGGCGATCTCTTCTTTTGTTCTCGTGACCTTAATGTTAGATTCAGGGATGATATTGTAAGAAAACATTAGAAGCAAGTCACTCAGAGCCGGTTTTTACACGAGATCTAACCCGAACCGCGGTTTTACGCAAGCAGTACACCTCAGGGATTCTCTATAAGAGGGCTTATTTTATTACATAACTGTCCTTCCACTATCAGCTTTCGGCCCTCTGAACACTACTAACAAATTTAATTATTCGGATAGAAGTTCGGCTGAATTGAAGATGGCTTAGAATGCGGTTTGGTTGAAATAATCGGCCCTTAAGGTCTAAAGAGTCAATCCCCGACGTCTACCTGAGGAAATGTCACAAAAATTTTCCAAAAAATTTGAAACAATTACAAGTGCGGTTATTTTTCCGCAATCAGTCGTTAAGAACTACATGATATGATTTGGTGCATGTACTTACTTTAACATAATTTTCTAGATTACATCCAAACACTTTGGCCTTCTTGTGCACAGAGTCTAGAATCGCTGAAGCTTCTTTAGAAGACATATCTAGCGCTGGTCTCTTAAGCCTTAAAAAAATTGATGAAATGAAAATTCAAATCATTTTTATAATATCAACACATTATAAATGTGAAATATGTGATGAGAAAAGAAAGACTTATGGAGCAGCAGGTGTCATGGAGGCGAGATATGGGGCAGACAAAATCAAGTATTGTACCAAAAACCACGATTGCAAATGCTCGTGGTAGAAATTTAGGGTACATTTTCCAAGACAAAAAATCAGACTTTTCTCTAATACATGTTTAGACACTTTGTGCAAGCCCCACACATCCCTTAAGTCATACCCCAGCTTCAAACCCCCATTTGACGTCCTAAAAATTCTAAAAAAAAGTCACCAGAAATCAAAGTTAAGGCAAGGGAAGAAATACAAAACAAAACAAAAAAAAGTGTCGAAAGAAATTCGGGGTTGCTTTGGTTTTCTCTAACTTTGCTCTTCTAACTTTGCTCTGTGATTGGTCTAGAAGAATCGTGTCATCCTCTCAACCAATCAAAAGCCAAACTTAAAAGAATCGTGACTTGGTCATTCGCATTTTCCCGCGCTTGAGCAGTTTTCAGTTCTCATTGGCTAATGACTATGTAAACCTTGGTTCTGTTTAGTCGCTGAGATAGCCTTGATTTTGGACACCCAATTGAAAATTGCGTTACAAAAACACAAAGATGTGACAGCTTGCTACACGAGAAAGGTCGCCAAAATGGCTCCTTTCGGTGCAAAGTTCGTCCCCAATTTTATTCCTTCTGACCAAGGAGGTCAAAACGGCCACAGCTTAGACAGGGGAATACTACATGTGGAGATTTTGGGCAAGAAGTGTGGAAATTCATTTTTAACATCATTTTAAAATACCTGGCTCCCACAATGTCTGGTGTTACTTCACCTACGAAGAGTAAACAAAGTTAGTAAATGATTGTAAGTCACTTAACAATAAAAAAAAAAGTAAAAAAGTAAGAAGTACAGATTACTACTAACCGAGTGTTTTGGTCAGCATATCATTTTCAGCCTCCACACGGACTTGTACACTACTAATAAGAATAAGCTCCCGCATTTTCTGGAAGAGAAAAAATATCATAAAGCAACATAAGGAAACATCTTTTAAGTGCGCTGCATAATATCAGAAAAGAAGGGTGCAAAAATTCTGAGCACTGACGCGACGTGAAACCTGAATATTTTACAACAATACTACAATTGATCCCGACTGTGGAGAAAGTAAAAACACCAGCAGCAAAGTAGCAGATTAACTCCTGGACTCCCAAGATATGATTGTAAATTCTCCTTTCCAGCTGCACCACATTTCCTTGTAAATTAGTTACAAGAATTTGGTGTTTGATCAAGCAGATAGCCACCACCTGATAAGTCTGAGTATTCTCATTACCTGTTTGTTTGATAATGTATGGGTATTTAGGGGAGAAATTACATGTTAGTTGCTTCTGGGAGTAATTGAAAGGTTCCAATGAGGTCGTACCGTCATATAATACATCTCTAAGTCTTCACTGCTGTTCTTGATTGATTGACAGCTGCCTAATCCAGCAACAGGATCCACTGCACCATTGGCCACTTTCATCATTTCACTGTCCCACTGCTGATGCATCGATGCAAGAGCATCTGAGGTGGCCGCCGCTGACTTTCCAATCTAAAAAATGGACAACAGTGGCTGTTAAATGCAAAGTGAAACTCATAGACATGAATGGCTTTTTAAGGTAACTACTAACTTAACTTAACCCCTTATACCCTGGCATCAGTGTTCATATTCTCCCTACTGTTCTCTATACATTTCCTATGATACGAAAGGAGAATTTTTTTCAACAATCAAGAGCATCTTGAGTTGATGATCATTTCCTTACTTCTCATGACTTTTGTGCTTGACTCTGCAGTGATACCTCCAAGAGAAATTAGAAGCCAGTTCCTCTTAGGAATGAAAGGGTTAAAATGTTCTTTGCTGTACTTTCTTTCCTGCTTCATTTTGCGTGAGGCTTTCAACATTTCTGACCGTAGCAATGAGCAGGATGCTTATCAAATATGAACATAGTACTACCATAATCCACAACAGAATTACCTGTTGCTCAGTAATAAAACACTTGATCACAGAGTCAGAAAGTCTAGGGTTTGATTTTGCACGACTCAGCCAGTTTTTGCCTCATGCTTTCGGCAAAATGAATGGCCACATGTGTCATTTAAGGCCAAAACCAAAAGCTGTCATCTTCCTCATCCTCTTTAACCTTTTACACCCCAACATCAATGTGTAAACTCTCCATACTACTTTTTATACAGTTACAAAGATGCTGACAGAGAGAATTTGTTTAACAATCAAGAGCTTCTTTAGTTTGTGATCATTTCCTTTATTCTCATGACCTGAATGTTTGATTCAGGGCTGATATTGTCTGGAGAAATTATACACTAATCACTCTTAAGGGTTAAAGGATTTAAAAAAACGTGGAAAGGAGATGTCTACGGGAATTACAAGCTAGTTAATTCACATTTTGCTACTTTCTTTTTCAGTTTTTTGTTTGATGAAGTTCCTTAAACCTTGTTGCAATTAGGTATAACTACAAGAAAGTGTTTTAGTGACAAACCTCATCTGTTTCTGCTTTTGCCCTTTGCAGTCTCTCAAACACCCTGTAGTGATGATCTATTACATCAATTTGTTGAGGTGACACCTGATAAAGCTGTGAAATAAACATCCATACACATATTAAATATGACGCTTCATTGGTAAGATCTAGATATCACTCGCCACCGTCTGCCCTACATTTTATTTAATTTCATCTCAAAAATTTGGAGTTAGGTCACATAATATCCCTACTGGTAATGTGTAGAGGTAATCCGATGGGCTAAGTTAAATTGAGGATTAAAATCACACATGTTTTCAGAAATTGCAGAAAATTCTTGAGTCATGCAGCAAGTGATGAGAGCGATTTCTGCAACTTCTTTAAAACAGAAGTGATTTCAATCTTTAACTTTACAAAAAAACTTGCTATTACTTTTTTATAACATAAATGGAAAATTTTATCTTAAAAAAGGTCAAAAACAACTTAGGCAACCTAAGAACTAATCAGTTTTAGGTAATTTTGTACGGGGAATTACCAAATTTAATGAAAAATTCCCTCTATCTCAGCCAATCAACATGTAGTAAATATGCCCTCTATGCCCTCCTCTGGGACTCATAATTTTTTCTTTGTTCCATGCTTGTGACAAGACACAAAACAAAATCTTTCTTTTTCTCTATTTCCTTACCAAACATTATGCCCAAGTCCCAATTACAGGGGAGTTCACAGCTTATTTGAACAAAGACTACTAGAACTACACATATGCACTACTACGAAACCAGGACAAAAACATTTTAAATTAAGTGCCAAAATTTGATTTCCATCCTCTTTAAAATTTAATCTCAAAAGAAAATGATGACATTTTAATTTCAGAAACAAATCATCTTTAAAAGATGTGAACATCAATCATCCGATTTTTTAAACACAACGTGGTGTTACAAGTTTATAATTGTTTTATCTTTTACTATTTTTACCACTTTTTATGTTTCAAGAATAAATAAAGACTACTACTACTATAAGACTACCACAATAAGCAGCATTATCTAAAGAGCAGAATAGGAGTTCTGAAATTCAGACTAAGAACAGAGACCAACCTCATCATCATTGAACGGCAAGAAGGCAAATGTGAATGGCAGAGCTAATGCACCGGAGTTGTCATCAAAGAAGAACTGTTTATCTTTAGCTGCTTCCACAGTAAACTTAGCTTCACGCACAACATCTACTGACTGGTTGCTGGAAGCTGCTACATTTGCTTCTGAAGTGACATATGCCTCAACTCCTCGAGTGAAAGAGTCGTGGTAATTGTAGTCAAAAGTCTGAGTAGAAAACAAAATACAAAAATTTAACCCTTTAACTCCCAAGATCTCATTAGTAATTCTCCTCACTGTCTACCATACAATTCATATAATGTTAGTTCTGAGAATTTAGTATTGGATCAACCAATCATCCCCTTATTGATATTTTACTATATTCTCATCTCATCTCTGCTTGATATTGTATTGATATTGTAAGGAGAAATTCTGTCTTGATCACTCATGGGAGTTAAAGGGTTAAGATCTTGTTACCCATTTAACCCTTTCACTCCCAAGATCTGATTGTAAATTCACCCCTCTAGCTTACAAATAAGTGATGACAATTTGGTGTTAGATCAAGATAATAATTTCTACCCAAAAAGTTTAAGTATTTTCATTACTTGATTGCTGAATGATGATGGATATTACAGGGAAAAGTTACATGTTAATCACCTATGAATCAAACTTATGACAAAATTCTAAAGAGAAAGCAATCATCCTTTCCATGTTTTCATTTAAAAAAAAAACCAAAACAATTAACTCAGTGAAATGCCCAACAACAGCACACTTTCATGATGTGTACTGTCCATGTACAAAGGCATGACATGCCAACTGTCCTATTACACTGTCCAATTGCAAACACAATGCGTACACTGTCCTATTAGGGCTTTAATCAGACTGGTGATAACCTATCACATTCTACAATTTTGTTATAGTTTTGATTAATGAAGATATACCCTGTAACATGTAATGGACTTGCATCCTATCTAGGGGTATTAAATATACTCCATACTTTGCATTTGTTGCTGCTTCATGATAAAGATACCATCATAGATTCAATAGAAAAAAAGGGCCTGGTAAAGCTACAATCCTTGTAGATAAGCTGTAATTTTAGCAATTGCAAAAGAAAAGCCTGGAAAAAATTCAGGCTTCAACGGGATTCAAATGCATGGCTTCCAGATACAAGTTCGCTACTGCTACCAACTGAGCTACAAAGCCACATATTGGGGGTGAGGCACATTTAGAAGTTTCCTTTTTCCTGAGGAGGAACTTTATCATAATTTTTATTGAGAATTTTGACCCAAAAAAAAATGGGTCCCTTGACCTCAAAGACTTAACCTACAGTATGGGGCACAATCAGAGGTAAAGTTACACTCTGCCTATTACAAGACGACAACAAAAACAACAAAATCGATCAGTGGACATTTGTTCTAAAAAAAAAAAAAAACAAAAACAAAAAAAAAAAAGAGCATACTCACATCAACCAATGTCTTGAGAAATCCATTGTAATAATTCTCCAAGAAATGGTTTGTAGACTCCAGTGATAAGACATACTCATTCTTAGCTTTGACACACCTCTTTTTGCATTCAGTACATTTTTGTTGGTGCTATTAAAGACCAGTAAAACAACACATGAAATGATGTTTACATGTGCCACTACAGTTATATCATTTATGGTCATTGTCATCAACAATATAATCATTAACTATTTTAACTGTTTTATAATACCAATATTATATCATCTTGAAAAAAAATTACAGTCAAACTTCAATTATCTGGAGTCATATGGGGCTGGGCCAAAAAGTCCTGATAACTGAGAGTCTCAACAATAAAAAATATGAATAATAATAAGCCTAAAATAAAATTGAAATCATGTACATACCCTTAAATCAATATTACCAAAGAATTAACATGTTCTCAAATCAGAGTGCATCATCATTAACATCTGTCAAAGGTATGTTTGGAAATTAAGAAATCTAAACATCAACGTTTCATGGAAAGCAGAACAAATTCTGTGAGTTCTGATGGCTGCTTCTTTACAAGTACTTCAATTAATAGCAAAAGTTGTCACAGTTTGCAAATGGAACAAATAAATATTTATTACAAATAATACCACAAAAGCAAGTCCTCATACACTGTAATAAAAATATCTCCAAAAAAAGTCCAGATAACTGAGGTTTGACTGTATCAGAGTAATTATATTTTTTGGCAAGATTATAAACTGCTCTGGTCATACCTTTTCAACTTGCTTGGCCATTTTTTCATTCTTTCTTCGTGAATCTTCCATCTTTTGAAGTTTCTGCTCTGCTGTTTTGCTCTCTAAAGCCATTGCATGATAGCGATGGAGTCTCTACAACAAAAAAAAAAAGATGTAGGCCATGAACCCTTTACCCCTTACATCAATATCAATACTCTCAATACAGTTCTCTAGACATTTCCCTTGGTACCCTTAAGGAGAATTTATTTTGTGATCAAAGCTTCTCAGCTCTGCAATCATTTCCATTATTCTCATGATCTTAATGAATGGTCAGTAGTAATTACTGTGAGGAGAAATTAGATGCTGGTCACTCTTATAGTTTAACCCTTTAACTGCCAAGATTGGATTGTTAATTCTCCCTCTCTAGCTGCTACTCATTCCCTTGTAAATTTGTTGCAAGAATTTGGTGTTGGATCAATATTTAAAAATATCTCATACCTGATAAGTTTGAGTATTCTTACTACCAGTTTGCTGGATAGTGTATGGATACTACAGGGAGAAGTTACCTGTTGATCTCATCTGGGAGTTTAACTCCCATGAGTGACCAAGACAGAATTTCTCCTTACAATATCAATACAATGTCAACCAGGTAAGTTATGAGAATAAAGAAAATCGTCAATTTAGGGATAATTAATTGATCCAATACTAAATTCTCTGAACTAACATAATAAGAATTGTATGGTTAACAGTAGGGAGGATGACAAATTTGAACTGGGAGTTAAAGGATTAAGGGGCTAAAACATTTTTTGATAGGTTGGAAAAAATTCAGTTCCTGTTGTACTACACTAGTCTAATTCAGTAATAATTTTCATCTTGAACACTTGTATAAGGCTGAACAATTTATCATAAAAGTTTCATTGAGAAAAACAACTCAGTTTTTGTATTCACCCTGTTAAGATCGTTCACTGATTTGAGTAGTTCCTCCTGGAGAGTTGAAGCTGTCTCGCAACACTGTAAAATACAAAAAAAAAAAAAAAAAGGGAGAACTTACAAAATTAAAGATATTCCATGCTTGTTGCCTATCTCACTTTCACTTAAAATATTACTAATATTAATATTCTCCACACTGTTCTCTTTATATTTCCCATAGCACTGACAAGGAGAATTTGTTTGAAAATCAGGAGTTTCTTGAGTTGGTGATCATTTCTTTAATTCTCATCATCTTTGTACTTGATTCAAGGGTGATACTGTGAGGAGATATTACATGCAAGTCTCTCTTAGGGGACAACAGTTGACATCATAAAAATCTAGAAATAAAACATAACGGTTTTTCCACTTGACCACCCAATGCACCCTAACATCAGTACATATATCCATACTGTTCTCTTCACATTTCCTATGGAGCTGTCAAGGAGTAATTGTTTATAGAAATGATGAGTTTCTTTAGTTGGTGATCATTTCCTATATTCTCAAGACCTTAATGTATGATTCAAGGGTGATATTGCTGGGAGAAATAGGGTGCTAATCACACTTGGGGTTAAAGGATTAAGATAATTATAAACTCTTACATGCTTGGATATTCTTTTACAGTCGTCACTTATAATCATGAATCTATTAACAATGTCACTGGAAACATTTTCGGCAAGACCCTGATGCATCTTCGATTTGTTCTTTGTTTCAATGAGGACTTGTTGCCATAAATCCATCGTGGTTCCCTTCTCTCTCCTAGTGACACAAGTTAAATAGTGAATAAGGGCATTAATAAATCCCACACTCTGTTAGTCAATTACAACAGCATGGTGGACTACCAGTTCAAAACAGAGAGCCACAATTAAAACAAAGACAGTTCCTTTTTTTCCCACCAATTCTTTTCAGAGCCACACAGATCATTTAAAAACCACCTTACAAAAGTCCATATCTATCAGTCACTGCCTTGAAAACTTAAAATGGCCAGATAAAAGTTCAACTTTTTGCATCAGTTTCTTCCAAACACTTGGCTATACAACACACAGTTCTTTTCAGAGTCACCCCTGTCTTTTTCAAATCCAACCAAACTTACAAAAGACAGTAACTAACAATCACTGTCTTGATTTTATTTAAAATGAGACTGGGAAAAATTGGCCTTATCAAATCAGTTTCACAAAAATACTCAGCTGTAAGATACAAACTGAGTTTACCATCAATTTTCCATGAGAGGACAAATTTTTCTGGTAAAAAATGGTGCACCTTGTGACTCAATAACTACATAACAATGTAGTTGAAATGTTTTATGTTACCTCTGTGCTTTATGCCTATGAAGTTTTTCCAGATACATCTTTGAAAGCCTATCTAGGTTTCGAGAATATTCCATCTCAATTTCTGACAGCCTTCTGAAAAATTCCTGCAGATCTGCCAGAAAAAGCAGTTTTCCCTCTGTTCTGTTCTCAAAGCATTTCAGCTGCTCAATAACAATCTGGCGCATCTCTGTCAAAAGATAACATTAACATCTTGGTTAACCAATGGGTTCTAGGATTAATAAATAAAATTTATTGGAACTAGACAAACTGTGAACATTGGCATATGAGCTACACCTTTTCTCTCCAAATTGTCTTTACAAATCAAGGGTGCAGCTTACCAGTGAAAACATCTGGTAACAATGCCACAAATTTTCATCAATCAACATGATTACTTGAAAATGCCTGGTTACTAAGCTACAAACACCCCCAACAAACAAATAAAAATTCCATTCATTTCATGTTAAACTCGATTGAAAACCTGATAGGAAAGAAACAAACACTTGTTAACCCTTTAATTCCCATGAGTGACCAAGACAGCATTTCTCCTTACAATATCAACACAATATCAACCAGATAAGGGTGAGAATGGAGAAAAATATCAATTTGGGGATAATTAGTTGATCCAATACTAAATTCTCTGAACTAACATTATAAGGATTGTACTGTTAACAGGAAGGAGAATTACAAATTTGATCTGAGAGTTAAAGTGTTAGGCAATACCAGAGTAAGATCAAACGCAAGTCTAATTCAGTGGATACTATGTCCATACTTCAACAACTAAAATAATTTGCAAGGATTCGAAATCTAAAAAATGTGTGTTAAAATATTAAGCCTTTAACTCCCATAAATGACCAAGACAGAATTTCTCCTTACAATATCAATACAATATCAACCAGACAAGTGATGGGAATAAAGAAAACTATCAATTTGGGGATAATTAGTTGATCCAAAAGTAAATTCTCTGAACTAATATTGTAAGAATTGTATGTTTGACAGTAAGGAGAATTACAAATTTGGTCTGGGAGTTAAAGGATTAAAAGAAATGATCATGTAATCATGTAATTTACAATAATTATCTCTACTTTAAGAAAAAGTTATGTCGTAAAGTACATCTGAGATAATGAGCAGGTTTCAAGGTAAGTTTGGGTTTTTAAATATTGATAAAGATTCTTATTGTGAACTGTCTTTGGGAAGTGAGTTAAAAATGGTAAAAACTTTTATATTACAAGCTTTATCATTACCAAATTGAGAAGTTAAACTTAGTTTACACACATAATATGTTAACACAAAAAAAGGTAACATTCACTCAGAATAAATGAAAAACTAATCTAGCTGAGTAAAAGTAAATAATATTCAAATAAATATATATATATGTATATTACATACACCATTAGTTTTCATTTATGACATTTTTTCTTGAACCCATAGAGCTCATGGCGTATCTTGGCGATTGTTCTATTTCATGGGATTATATTTATTATGATTATCATAATTTAACATATTACTTGTAGTATTTGCTCCTTTTTTTTTGTATTTTATTTGTTTTTGGGTTTTTACAGTTTTTACAAGTACGCAAGATACATCACAAATTTCTACATGCATAAATTTACATTACACTACTCTATTACACAAAGAAAATACCACTACACTGGACTGTGAGAATAAAAGAAATGAAAAAAAGGCATCGCGTATTGATATAAATAATAAATTAGTTCAGCTATTGTTCTATCAGTTGAAGGAGGGGTTTCCATTTGTTGTAATGGATCTCAAGTTTATTATTCTTTCTGGCTATAAAACGTTCTATTTGAAACGTACTCTTAATTCTTAGTATTTGCTCCTGCAGAGTTCTGGCCCAGAGAAATATGAAATGATGTATGATTAATAGAGTAAATGGAAAAACACTGGATTTGTCCCAAATGGGGTGCGCAAAGGGTCTACATAGATCCTTTGCATGCCACATAGCAATCAATTAGCCAAATGAAGTTAATTTCACTGCTTGTGTTTCACATCAGATCATACACAATCAATGAAAATGATCCACAAAAGTGTTTGGCTTTCACCAGAACTCTTAAGTATTTTCATTCTTTTTCAGCCATCGATGCTTAGTAAAAATATTGAAGAGAAATTTTTAAGATAAAAATTAAAGTGTAAAAAGATAAAGAATGATTGTAAGAACTTTTAGTAATCCTGAGGTGTTTCTGGTCTAACTTGAGAATGCTCCAAAAGCTTGCAAAAAGTGGCAGAATCACTTACAAATAAAAAGGATAGTGCTGGTACTTCTTACTGTGTTACACTATTTAGTAAGACAGCCATCATGTTATAATGGGAAACCCAAGTGAAGGCTATTCTTGTCTCTTACTTGTTTTTTCTCTGTCTTCAATCATCAGGTTTCCTGTCTTGATTTTAGCAAATGTGCTTATTCCAATGACTTTTTTCTTTTTTCATTGTTTTCATTTTGTAATTTGTTAAGTATTAATTTGTGAAATAATTTATAAGAAACAATAAAAGCACTTGAATACCAAAAACAAAGGAAACAAATGACTGCAGGAAGGTAGAAGAGCCTCAGAGATTGTGTTGAATAGTGCCACTCTTTTTTAAGATTAGATCAGTGAGACAATTTAGAGCCAAGTTGTGAATCACTTAAAACATTTCTTTAGCTTAAGACCTTGCTTGCTGAATGTCTAGGGTTTCCCAGCCTAACGCAACGACAGCCTTGTCGCATGAGTATCGCCAGTTGCTGATATGCATTATGCGTCTGGCAGACCTATTTTGCAAGTTTTGTAGCCTGTCAGAGCGGCCTTCGTTGTGGGTGTTCCAGATCTCATAGCAGTGATTGAAATGTAGTTGATTAATACATTACAGATGTTAACTAGAGGGCTCTGTCTACGAAATCATGAACCGCCAGCTGATGGTAAATTCTAGGTAGTCTACAGACAGTTTTTACATTTACTTTGAAAATTCAGTACGTGCGCGAAATTTGACAGGCAAAAAGCACATGAAAAACATTTGAGGAGCACGTGAAAACCATTATCACTTTAACACATTTGAACCAATGTATCTAACTCTGTAACCTGTAAAATGTTGTACGCAAAAATGAAAGAAAGTTACTCAGCTTTCAGCCATAATTCACATGAAGAGTTAAACCAATGCTACCAGCCTAAGCTAATTAATTTTCAAGGTACAAATTTTACAAGCAGAGTAACATTTAGAGTGTATATAGTATTCAAATCATTCCAACTGGTGACAATAATCTCCAAAAAATTCTGAGAAAACTGTAAAAATCAAAAAGTTGTTTCATTGCCAAAAGTTTCAGCTTAATTTAGAAATTTAATATCTTGTAGAGGCAGATCCTGCTTGAGAAGGAAGTCTAAAGATCAAATTATGTTGTGATTGTCAGAAAAAAAAAGGATAACTTCCTGTTATATATATTATAACTCATACAAAACAATATTGTGTGTTACTTTTACCACATCAAGAATTATTTCAGGAAATATGACAAAATGCAAGTGATGATGTTTAAATCCTGATTAAGTGTGCAACATTTTTGTTCGAACCCTTGTTATATATAGCATCATGAAGGAAGAATTTTGTGAGACAGGAAGTGGTTCCAGTCAGAGACAATGGAACACAAATAGGCACTTTTACATAAATTGGTAGGAGAGTATTTGACTTGACTTCACAACAATGAAAGATGGTGTAGTTCTTGGGAAGTCTTTTAGGAATTGTGTCCCATAATCAAATTTCAGTAGAAAATGCTTTTAAAAAAATATATGCAGATGTAAGAGCATGTTTGGCCAAAATAGTGGATCAAAGGATATTGGAACACCAACCAACACTAACATATAAAAATACCAATATTGCTTCGGTGGGAAATTACAACTTAAGCAACTGTACGTAATTGTGTAATTGTGTTATTCTACAAGCTAGCAAATGTCTGAGTTTTCAGTTCGGGAATTTTATCCATTGCATTGTAAAAAACCTGTCTTCTGATCTGTTCGTCAAACGAAAGGTCATAGCTGAAACTAAATATCATACAATTATTGCTCGAGAACATAACATTTGGAATCGATGATCTAAGAACGTTTGACAGAAACAGAATCACGGAGAACCAGGTACAGTGCGCTGTAAACAAAAACATGTGATTGCACATTCGATTAAATGACTCACGTGGCTACAGACAACTTTTTAACCAAAAAATACGGCCGTTTAGATAATTGCTGAAGGTGTGAAGATGCATTTTACTACAGTCAAGTATTTCGTGACAAAATACAAACTGGTATATTTTTGATTGATAAGCTTCAAAGAAGAAATAAACGGCTGAAATGTTGTGCATTCCATCAGCTGCGAAACATGAATGCGTTTAATACATCACCTGCTACGTAATTGGAGTTAAGTTGTTCGAAAATGTTAAATAAGGTTGCCACGGGTAAAGTGAAATGGCTAGTTTACATTGCGGTAGAAATCCGTTCGCTCTTACATCTTACAGAATCACGAGCACATAATTATATGTCAAAGTTAGTTCATTTAACTAGCAACAACTTGAGTAGTAGCCACGAGGGAACAAGATGAAAAATTTTCAAAGTAACGAGTTTCCAAGATGTAAAGATAGGTCCGAGGAATACTTAATAAGGTCATTTGTGAATGCCTGCGGTCTCTTGAAAACTAGAACAAACACCAGAATCTCCAAGATTTTGAATACTAGCTCTCAATGATTTTCACACATTCGTTTTCGATTTCAAGAGATTTAAATATTTAATGTTCCAAACACTTTCAAATTGACAAATTTAAACCAAGGTATTTTTTTGTTTACGACCACGAGGAAAAACATTCATCTGCTTGAAATAAAACGGTGATTTCATTTACAAACATGTTGCGGAAAATTGAACATCGCTACAAAGTTAGGACATGAACTCGACATATTAACTTTTTAAAAAAGTCAAAAAGTGAAGTTAATACGTAAAAACCAAAAGGCTTCCTTGAAGCCAAACACATTTATTGATTAAGCCAAACAGATGAAGGAGTTTGCTTGTTAGAAGATCATAAGGTGAACCATTGATCAAACAATTTTGGCCGATTACATCCAAACCACTTCTTGAAAAGTTCTAAGCGTATACAATCTTAAAATAAAGAGCGTGCGGGATGCGCAGACTTTTTAGCAACTGGTCTTTACTTTGATGACAAAATGCTTGATAATCTCCCCAGAATAATCGAAATAATTAGTCAAAAGTTGCTCAATATTTGCAGTCCGTCTACTCGCGATGAAATAACTCGACTCTCTTTAACTAATTCGATGGCTCAGGCTCTTCGCAAACCGTCCACGGATCGGCGCTCGCAATCAACGTTGCTCGCAAAATTAACTCATCCCCGGAAACCAGTTTCGCAAATATCTCGGTTATTCTCTCGACAACTATGTTTTACATCAACTGTTCATAAATTCACCGCCCCTTGATCTGTTGTTATAAGCTGACGCCAGATAACATAGCACTTACCTTTCGTTTGTGTGCCAAACTCCAGAACGGCCGACTTTCCTTTCTTGGCATTAGACGTCATTTTTGCGCGCTAAAACGAACACGCTACTAAATCATTTTGGTTGCTGGCGACGATAATTTTACACGGAAGGAATTTTTCCTTCTTTTGGTGGATTTTGAATCAAGAAACTCTTTGTTTTGGGATCAAAATCCACGCAGATCCGAGGTTTACGAGTGCCGGAAGGAAACAGCAGAACTAAATCGGACCCAGTCTCTCTAATGAACACATCCTATCGAAAGCGAGGCTAGCTTATTCAGAAGGCTTTTTTCCAAGAATATCCCATATACCCTTATTTGGTCTTCTTTCTCGAGTGCGACCAACTTTCTATATGCTTTCAGTCAAGATCAATCGTCTAAAATGTCAAACGGAAACATATACCATAAGAAGTAAATTTTTCGGTCATAGATCTATGTTCAAAAGATGTTATTTCAACGGAGACGCCCACTGGAAGTGAAAAGTATTTATACCGAAACTTGAGCAGCAGTTGGTCGCTCCAGTAAAAGATCCTCTTGAACGCTGTCAGTATCAGGAAAAAGCAAATGATCAGGATTTCAAGAGTTTCACGGGAACACTGTCACACCAGTGGTCGTAGTTTGAAATTTGAAAGGTCTTTTTGCCGCGGTGGGTCATGCAGTCATTCACTTGTCTTCCCGATCGCGCGGGCGCGGGATGGAAAATCAGTTATTTAAAAACGAACTTAAAGTCGTTTCATCATTAGGTTTCATCGTTTCATTCCTCGTAGTCGCCATGGATTCTAGACAAGAATCAGGCCACACGCACTACAAACCACTCTCAGAGGACCACGCTGACCTCCGTAATCTTAAAAACTTCGCTGTTTCCTTAATTAACCATTTTACAAGTTATTGTGAGACAATCTATTTGACCAGCGCGAGGTTCTTCCTACGGTATTCGGCCACGCCTTGTAACTTCTCCGCGTATCTATTAAATAAAGCCACATATCGCGCAGGTTTCTTTTTTATTTTTATTTTTTTAATCTTTAACCCGTATCACTTCAACCCCTCAATTCCCTTGAGTGATTAAGATAGAAATTCTCCCTATAACATCAATACAACATCATGCTGACAAGTAATGAGAAGAAAAAAAAAAGGAATCAGGGGATTTTAGTTGAGCCAATGCCAAATTCTCCGAACTTTCATCATAAGAGTATCATAGCAGACAGTAAGGAGAATTATTAATGAGATCTTGGAAGTGAAGACTCCTGAAACGAACCAGTTGGCCACGGGCTTCTGATCTGAACCGAACAAACTGTAATCTGTAAACAAAATGTAAACAACTACTTTTGGGGTATTCTTGATGCAAATTTAGAAGCTTCTGTTTGTTTATTTGGTTTTTTATTGCTTGCTTTCAAATTTAAACTTTTATTTGAGGGACAAATCACTTTGGTCAGGGTGGGGAGGGGGGATCACCGATGTCCTAGATTCCCGATTGTGCTCGTAAAATGCTGGAACATCGCTCACTGGATTGCAAAAAAGTTGCTAAAAAATTTCCAAAAGGAAAAAAAATTACAACCAAAATTTTTAAAGTTGCTGCCTAAATTTCCTCCTACTTTTGTATAAATGTTTAATGAAAAGCTCTGTTTTCTTTGGTTATTTACAATAATTGCCAACATTAGTCAAGAAAAACAACCCCAATCATATTCTCACATTGTCATCGATCAACAACAGTAACCTTTTACATCCTAAAATCAGTATGCATATTCTCCGCACTGTTTTCACAAATTTCCAAAGAGGTTGATAGGGAGAATTTGTTTAACAATCAAGAGCTGCTTTCGTGGGTGATCATCTTCTCTTTTCTCATGACTTTCATGTTTGATTCAGGGGTGATATAGTAAGGAGAAATTAGATGCTTGTCACTCTTAGGGGCTAAAAGGTTAACCCAAAAAGCTTCATTCTTTAATCTACATCGAACGGAACAGTTAGGTTCAGGTTCTTAAAAAATTTCGTGAGAAATAGTCAGGGAAGGAGATTTATTTTTTTCTTTATTTCTTTCCTTTTTTTTTTTCTCGGATAGGAAGTCTGTTTTTATCGAGTATCGTGTTCCGGGATTGCTACGAGACACTAAAATCTGGTTAATAATTTCCTTGACATATAAAGATTATGTCATTTCCGTGAATCAGACCTAGACTTACTGTGAAATCCGATCAGACGAGTTACAAATTTGTTACGATGGACTTTATTCATTTGTTTGCCTTTAGGACGTGATCAAAGCCTACAAATAAGGTAAAAATTCCTCCAGATATTTCTGCTTTTCAACTTGCTTCATTTACTTTGTATTTTTTTAAAGCTTAGACTGTTAACGTTGAGTATGAAAATTGATTCATTCGGAAGATGCGATCAGGCAGAACTTTACGCCAATGATTATTTCAAACCGCGCAATCCTTGACTTGTACAAGCCATTCACTAAGAACTCGCCTTAAATCGGCGGATGGATTGGTGATCGGCTAATATAGGCCTTGAAACGTAGATAAATTTAGTTTCAATCGGCTCTAGGGGTGATAGACATTCTAACTTCCACGTTCAAAATATCCGGCTAAGGAAGGTTTGTGTCTGTCATCGGACGTGACTCGTGACGACTCGCGTGGTAACGTGACGTGAGCGTTACGCTTGAAAAAGCCAACGTGTATGGTGCACAAAGGGATAACCGGAGGGAGGGGAGAAGGGAAGGGATTTGAAGACGTATTAACTTTCCCCTCCCCGCATTTATTTATTCGCTTTTAATTGCACCAGCCAAGTGTGCTATGTTCCAGACTGAAGCTTGCCTAGCGTATTCAATTAGGGATTTTTATTTGCAAAAATTAATTAACGGGAAATCTTGGTCTGACAGGTGAATTAAAGTGGACCTGCTACTTTCAAAATATAACTGTAAAAAATATGGCAAAGATTCCTGATAAGATCGATTCTATTTTGAGGTAGAAAACAGACAAATAGCATCGCAAAAAGTGATTTGTTTAAATCTTTATTCTTACCCATTTGAACAGGGAGTTAATTTGCTCATACCGGTTGGATAATTTTGTGACATTGTCCCCAAAGATGAATTACAAAAAAAAATAAATAAATGCGAATGTCAGCAGACAAGTGGACGACGTTTATTGCGCACAAATTCCAAACAGTCATTTCGCTCGAAATCGACGAGTTTTTGAGAATTTCGTTTATGTTTGATCACCAGGAAGAGAATGGATTAACAATGTATTACGTATTCTTACTTGTATAGAGTTACAAAGAAATTTCCTGTTTCATTGATGGAACACCGTCTGAATGCAAATGTGCCCAGGTGGAAACAAAATTAGCCCCCAAAAATGAGTGCTTTATCTTTTCCTCCTTTACCGTAAAAATAGCAGATGGATTTGTGCAAATTATTGCCATGATTCGTGCCGAAATACAAACTGACTCAAACTTGGCTGTCGTTAGGTAGAACTGAGTTACGGATTTCATACGTTTATTTCAAAGCCCTTTAAATCTCGGTTTTTCGTGCACGTTTTTATAATTTTAAAAACTGGACAGAGTTGTTTGTTTCTTAAAAATCTTAGTCATCAAGAAGATATAATTGCCCTCAAGCGATTGCCATGCCAGTTCCTTAGTTAATTTATACTATTGAAAGTCGACTGAATTTAATTCCGTAACTAGTCTACAAATTCTTAAATTCTCACTAGAAAAAGAGAATGTATTTCTACTTGACATTGTTTGTTTGCTATTTGTTTTAACTCAGACTAATTAAAAAGATCCCTAAATCCATCAGCTCAAAAGTCATTTTTAAGATTTTGAAAGAAGCTGACATCATTGTTTCTAAGCTACGCGCGTTCTGCAAAACAATTTTCCTTACCATTTCGGTAAAAATTTCCTATTTTACCACGTGGAAATAAAAATTCTAGTCGTAAAGTCAATTATTGAAGCCTTGTTACCATGATCACAAGCTAAACGGATTCTTCATTGCGTGATTTGTAACGCTTTCATAGCAGGAGAAATTCAAATGCACGAAAATATTCAGATACGTGACAAATTAAGACACAAAGCCAAAGAGTTTTGAATGAAAATCTCCACAGGAAGTCAAAATGACGAATGCAAATTTCCCTTCCCGACATCCACTTCGAGATAGGGTTGACTCAGCTGAAGCTCTGTCGAAAACTCGGTCGCTGATTCGCTCAAAAATACGCAGGTCATTTTATACAATACACGGACCCGTCATCAATATTTTAGGCGCAACCACATTCTAATTCATGCTTTTACTGTAAAATTAAGGACCATAATCTTGAACGGTACTTTAAATGATTTTGCGACAGAGAGAAATTGTAACTCAATACTGGAACATGGGAATTTTAAAGAGATAAGCTGAGGTAAGGATATTCAAAATCGACGAAAGATAACCCATCGAGAATTGGTCAAAACTAAACCTCGATACGGGGCATATTTTATTTTCGACAAAATTTAAGACGCGTACAATTTTAGCGAACGAACGGGGATTTTCGCGATGTACAGACAGTTTCCATTTGGTCACAAATTCACACAACTTAGGCATTCGGATCATTATTTTTTCATAACCTTCTTTTTATTTTCATTCAGAATTCAGCTCTGGAAGGGAACATTTTTAGATCAGCTGGGGAAGTTCCAATTTAATTGTTTAACAAGCCTTCACGCAAAATAACGTTTGTCTCAAACGCCCATCCAATGTTTTCTCGTTTCGCCCGAGTGGTTTTAGCGCGGAACGCACAACATAACGCGATGTCTGAGTGCGGTTAACGGTTTGCGGCGATATGTCGAAATTTTTAGGAGATATTTGAATAGAGAAATGTCCAGCTTCGCTGCTCTTTTATTGCTTTCAATAGTGGTATTTCCAACATGTCGAAATTTGAATGACACGTTATTAAGAAACTGCGTTCTTCACCTTGGCTGTGTCTTGTCGCAAGTTTAAACGTTTGGATAGCGAAGTAGCTTATCTGCCAAGCTTATATACCGTACTAGATTTCAATACATTTTACAATTATTTAGGTTCGGTTTCCTCCATTCAATTCGGAGTCACTACCAAAAGCAAATAATTTATAATAATCTGTATGCAAATTCGCGGCAACAAGCCAGGTTTGTTTATGGCGAAGGTGAATATTACTCTTGAAAAACCTCTTCGTGAAACGTGATATGGTTGCAAATGCCAGCTAGTTTGTGTCGGAAAAACATCACGTATGATATAACTACAATATATTTGACAACATGAGAAGGAAAATATCCTCTTGTTGTGGTTGCCATGTGAATTAGCACAGAAGAAATAAACTACTATTGTCAAACCGTTTCTGTTTTCGATATTTCGGAATTAATTCGAGCACCTTTTGTCTGTGAAGCTTTTAGAAAACACAACCACTTGCATGTAGTAACTCTTGTTGTTTCAGTGCAAAATTCCAAAGTTCAGAATATCAATAATAAACACCTCATTCAAAGTTTGAAATACGTCTTTTCAATCCAGTAGTATCTATTTATCCATTTTCAATCAAAGCTCGAGAATTTTGCTTAACTTTAAACCGAATGAAACAGATTTAAAAGAAAGTTGAGAGTTTTATTTCTTATCAAACTGAATAGGAATTATTTGAATGGACATAATTCACACTGCTGCTTTTAATACATTGTTGGGAGTTTTAAAGGAAAGGAAGGAAAGAGTTTAATGTACTTGTGGAAACGTATGAATTAAAACTGTCATCCATAGCTAAATGACAAATTTATGGGTGTGAATTGCGCTAGAACATGGACTTTTCAGTATAGGTATATCAAGCTAGCATAGGTTTCGAAAAAACTGTATGTTATTACGCAAAGGGCTTTAAATAAAAAATTCTTGCAGCGATAAAGTTCTGTAACTTCAGACCGTGTAAGCATCATTGAGGTACAAATGAGCGTGCTTTGGAAGGCTGTGTAGAAATTTTATTTGTAGTTAACTTCGTAGGTTATTTAAGATCGTATAGATATTACTAGTACTCGCTTTTCGATACAGCCAGTTAAGCATCGAAAGCAGCTCCGTAGTATATACGTCAAAATTATTTCATGGCTATTTTTTACTTTCTGAATGTTTATCTGTTTCTGCTGCAAATATAACCCAACTCTATAAATTCCACCATTGTTCAGTGCAATTATCTGCCCACAAAACTTCCTTGTTGTGCGCGAAAAGAATAAATTATATTTTAAGTTTCAATATCGAGTTAGATGTAAATCCATTTGCGTGCATAAAACTTGCTTCAATGCGAGAAACAGATGCAATATCATTCACAAGATCACTGCCAAAGTTGTGTTAGTTTTGGCAAAGGCGAATCTTCTCAAATAAGGAATAATAACACAACTGGTTTTGTCTTTTTTTGGCCATCATGTTGTCCTTACACGTTGGTGATCAGCTTAAAGGTACGTGATAACATTTGAAACCGAAATTTGGTTAGAAAACAACTGCAAGAGTTCGCATATCGCACAAGAAGAGGGAAGCGTCTTCACATGGGTTTACAATACTATGAAGAACATGCTATCGAGTTTTTCCTAAATTTAGAGCTATTTTACTTAATTTTAGACAACTAAAAGTGTCAGTTATTTCCTTTTCAATGTAAGAAACAGTGTTATGAATTAGTTGTCTTTTTAATCGAGCTCCACTTTTCAGAGACAAATAACGTGACAGTTCGGGCTTGAGGTAGACGCCATTATACTTCGTCGAGTAGTAGTCAAGTATTTATACTCTTGCTTCAAAAATATGGCAAGTCGTGGCAAGTAATGGCTTGTTAACTCAGCCGAAATGCAATCATCTATTTACTGTTGCTTTGGGCTGAGAGTTAAAAATGATTAAGATTTCCTAAAATAGTTTTAATAGCGAGACCAATTTATCACAATAATGGCGAAAACGAAGGGAAAATTTAAAGGAAAATCACTGTTTCAAAATAAAGTTACCAACACTTTCGAGAGTTTCGTTCTGCGGTCGATCTAGCAAACAAAAATGAGGATATGAACCTTTCAACACCCCCTTGCGGATGATAAACGAGAAAAATATTCTTTCGTCATAATTAATTCTGGAAGGAATATATCATTAGCGCATCATTCAACTAAAATTCTGTTCAATTGGAATTCATTGATGCTTCGAATCTTATCATTCGATGATTCATCGCTGGATTAAATTTCTATCAAGCTTCGGATTATTGTAATAAAAGGACTTAGAGCCTTTGATCGACAATTAATCGAGTGATCGACAAAGGATCCAATTGCGAACGCCGAAATGACTATTTAGAGGCTAATTTATTTAAAAACTCAATCAAGCTTAAAGGCCGATCGAATGATTAGGATTTAAGAGATTTCGTGTAAGTATGTGAGCACTGATATCTTTCTAAAGTTAAACATCTTTGCGCGAAATCATGTCACAATTATTTCACATATTGTGTCCATTGTTGCGGCGTCTGAATGTGAAAGATTAGTCGATCAATACCAATTTAAAATCGTCCGAACTTCTTCGATGCTTCGATGATTTCCCACGAATACTTTTATTGCAATATTTGTTATCACAGAAGTGCCCTGTTTAGTCTCTGCACAAAAATCAGTAAATGGCTTTCTTGGTTATATCCAGTTTTATTAAAATAATGCTGTTTTCTTTTACGTCAACAGATCAGGAGGAAAAAGCCAAGATGCAAAGTTACAGGAGTATTGAACAGTTAGAGGCCTTAGCGGGTGAGTTAAACACGATTTTAAAATAAAATAATTCGATAATTTGAAATCTGTGTTATTGGAGAGATTGTAGAGAGTTCTAAACACATATGTAGTGAAATATTTTCGTAGTTTAAGGCTAAAATTTTCTGTTGGTTTCCGGCTTTCGAAATGAATGAAAGCGAGAAAAATTCATGTTTAAACATGATTCGCAAGATGTAAATTAAAAACAACATGGGGTTGTATGCTTTGTTTCCAAAACTCTGAATATCTCGTCTGGAAAATGAATACCTTTTATTCGGTAAAGTTAAACGTAAAATCTCGCGCAGCTTAATTTGAAATTTGATAGAAATGATTTATCAAATTATTTAACCGTGTTATTTATTTCGCGGTCAGTGTCATCGTAGAGATGATTTCATCGTTACGTAAGCTTGAGTATATTTATGTTGTTGTTTATGAGATTTCGTGATTTTTTTTATTCAATTCCACAGCATCTCCGAGCGGAATTACGATCAAGGACCATGAAACGGTAAATCTTATCTACATTCATATTTTCATAACTTTTTTTTTCACAACCCTGACCTAATACTTGAGCTCTGATTTTAAATTAAACCTTCACTTAAATTTTTTTTTAATTTCAACATTAATTTCGGGTTATAACATATGGTTTTGGTAAACTGAAAATAGAATTAGTTCGGTTACCTGTAAATGCACTTTTCTTGTTTTCTCGATTAAATTATTGAAATCGGGTCTTTGAATTGAAATTAGAACGAAGTCACGTATTTTTTGAAGGTTTTTGTAAACAGTGTTTCTTTTACTGAGCTGTTTATAACTTATTCAAATCATCGATTTAAGTACGTAATTACAACATAGTTAACATGCCTTGTAGTCAAGAAGACAATTGCTTGTTTTTTCCGTTGTTTCGAGTGGGTGATTGCTTTTGAGTGGGATCAGTAGGGAACGTTCATGAATTATTGTTTATGAGAAAGTAGAGCTTTTTGGATCAATGTCCAAATTGAGTCAATGTCAGTATCTGAGCAACTGCCGACCTACCCTTCCCCTGACCCAACATTATCACTAAGTTGTTATCAGTTGACTATCTTTGGGTTAGGGGAGGGGTATGTACGCAGACACGAGTCCAGTTTTTCTCTGTAATGTTAATTGTTGAAGAAATAAGTTCTTATTTCGTTGATAACGTTTCACAGCTATGTGCCAACGATTGGTACCCTTACGACTTTTTAGTTGTTTTTTCGAGGCAGATTGTCTTGGAATCGTGTTACGTAGGAAGATATTTAAATGTTGATCCAAAAAATGTGGAGTAACTTTGCAAATCAATCACCAGTGTAAACATGAGCCATGAATGATTTTTAACGCAACATTTCGATGCGACAACGGATGGCAGATTTACAGGGATTTGAAAAACTTATAACCAAGGTTGTCTATGATTCGAAATGTTGCATTAATATGTAAATTTGTCGTTAGAAAGTTGATCGAAATTTAGTAAGAGAAAATCTGGGCAAAACTCGGTACCAAGCCGCTCTCCTGTCGGGTCGAGCGAGTGGTTTCGATTAACATCAAACTGATGAACGTCAAATTTTAAACTACTTGCAGTTGATTCAAGAGCTGAAGAAGGAGAACTTTGATTTGAAGCTCCGACTGTATATGGAACAGAAAGAGAGAGAGGTGAGTGAGAGGAAATTATTTTCTGGCAGTGGAAGCTGGAAGCATAAAAGGGCTGATATGTCTGAGAGTCTACTTCAAAAAAAATGGTAGACAAGAAAAAAATGTAATCAGCGACAACAAACACTTAGAAAGCTAAAAATAAATTAAAATAGTGAAAGAAAGCATGGCAACAATATCGACGAATCCGGTTATTTAATTTTTATCCAAGATCATATCTAATGTCGGACAGTTTTATCCTTTTTTTAAGTTTCAATATCGACTTCTTGCTATCCATTATCTTACATAAAAACAGGGAGGCCGTAAACGAAGTTTACACAAACATTTATAACATGCATTGCGGACCTATGTTTCATAGATAGACTGCAATGGTTGATTTTAATATGAATTGCGGGCCTTTGTTCAGACAAACGACAGGGATACATTTAACAAGTTATTGCAACCATTCTAATTTGTTTTGCCATTAATTTTTCAGAGGGTCACCGAAGAGTTTAAGCAAAAAATTACAGTTTTGGAAAGCGATCTGACAGAAGCTCTTGATGAATTAAGCGATGCTCTCGACCGAGAAAAAGATTTCGAGGCTGCTTTGGAAAGTTCGCAAATGCGGGAGAAGGCATTGCTTGCTAAGCAACGTCGAATGGAGGAAACTTGCCGTGAACAAGAAAACGAGATTCAATTTCTTACTTTGACAAAGAAGGACAAAGATAAGGAGAAAGAGAAGCCACACGTAGAGTTACAGACGGCTGAGGTTGGAACCATGACCGATTTTCCATTTTACAGTGAAAGGGCGGTGGATGTTGGTAACGTCAATGAGAATGAAGCTTTTAGCGACGTTGATTTGAAAGATTCTGCCGAGAGCCCCAATCCGAGTCCAACCCAAACCGAGACACGACCTGAAGGCGTGGATCTGTTGAATACAGGGACGCTTTTGCGGAAGAAGGACATGATTATGAGAGAGGCGAAGCGCCGCAGAACAGCAAGATCTAAGAAAGGCCAACGAAGGAATGTCGCTGGCAAATACGACTCAGAGCCGGAACACGAAAGAGAACGAGCACGAGCGGAGAGAAAGTCATTCTTCCATAAACTGTGTTGTTGTGTGAAGCAGCAAAGTGCTGAATATGAAGTGGACCCTTACGAAGACAGATCAAAAAGTGCGCTACAGAAAGTAACAATTAAAATACTGCATAGCTAGTTTATCTCTGTCTTCACCGTCGTAAACGGTCGGAATGACCGACGTCGCACGAAGTGTCAACGAACTGCCGAAGAACACTTTTTCAACGATGCGAAATTTTAGCTGAAATGAATATAATTACAAGTTAGATTTATAGAGGTAACTGCTCTTCGTAGCAAATTGCAGCGCGATTTTTCGGTCCACTAATCTATTTTGAAGGAATTTTTACAAAATTTCAAGATGACCCATAACTTGTAAATACCATGTTTTTTTTAATTTTCGTGCTTCAGAGGGAAGAAGAATTCATTACGTCACTTTGGATGATGTACTTCCAATGATCTGAGGCGATTTTAACTCCGAGAAAAAGAAGATTTTATAATGGACACAAAACTTAAAATTTTTCAAATAATGTTAAACGAGTTGCTTTTCGAATCATGTAAGCCTACTCAAATGTTCCCATATAAGTTCACGTGATGAGTGACTAACAAGTAACATCTCCTTACAATATTATTACAGCATCCAGCAGAAACGTAATAAGAATTGATAAACGCATCAACCATGGTATGTCACTGTAATGCAATACCGAATTTTTGTTAACTACACAGTCCTCCATACTAATTTTTTCAGTCGAATACGGTGAATCGTTGATATAAATAATTGACAGCTTTTTTTTCTATAAATATCGTTACGATAGTGTCTTCTTATATCAAGTTTAAATTCTCTTTTTAGTAATGTATTAGAGCAATTTTCAATTAAGTGTCGAAAGTAATACGGGATTGCGGTGGTTTTGCTTACTTTGCTCTGTGATTGGTCCAGAAAACTTGCGCCACTCTCCCAGCCAATCAAATGCAAATCACGACTTGGTCGCCGCGTTTTCCCGCGCTTTGGGCGGTTGTAATTACATTGGCTTTGTTTTCACGACACTCAATTGAAAAGCGCTCTCTACTTAAGATTTGAATAGGAAGGCATAATTCATACTGAAAAAATTAATTTACAAAAATTTGATGAAATGGAAAGAAAGCTTATTGTTCTGGGGAGAGAATGAATTGATGCCTCAAGGTTCCAAATGAACAAATTATATTTGATGAGCATTTGGGGGTTAAGTTCGATTGCAAAACATGGAATTCAAAGGCAAAATATTTACCACAGATACTTTTGTGGGTAAGGGGATAGATTAGTGAAATTATACGTATACATTTAAGCTGATCTAAGATAAAAAAAAAACTTCTGAAGAAACAATATTTTATTGGCAAGCCTAGACGAAAAGCGCCTATAATTTTTTTTTAGGCTTGTAGATCTATTTTAAAAAAAATTTACAAACGATAATGCATATTTAAAACCAAGGGGATGATTTTGAGTTTAGATAACTGTACAACTGAATTACATCAAAGCGGGTCAAATATAACATTGCATTTGTACATAGAACCAATACTTTAGAATAAACTTATGAACAAGCTTTGTGAAATAAATTCTTCTGTATGAGAAATGTTGGTTCACTCAGAGCGAGTTGATACAACACAGCGCTAACAAATGCGATAAAGCACACTAGTACAGAAATGTCTGTTTTTTCTACTTTTCTTTTCTTCGAACACGGTGATAATTATAATCGTTTTCAAGGTGATTTATCAGCCTTTGTTAACTGCAGATATCCGCAACAGGAAAAAGGTGATTGTCTTTTCGTCATCTTTCAAAGGTTCGATAGGACGGCGACAGAGGATATCTTTGTCTTTGTGATATGACCTGGTTAAGGAAGAAAAAAAAGAAAAGTGTTTATTTGTTTAGTCACTCGCTCCGATGCTGTACCGCTAACCTGCAGAGATCCCAATGTTAAGCTAACGCGTAGTTTGACTGGTTGTGTAAAACGATTGCACATAAAGCGCCACTCTAAAGGCTCAATTTTGGAAAATTTTAAAACGCGTGATATTATGTGTTGATTGCTTTAACTGCATGTAGGGCGTTCTTCGTTTGGCTTAAAAAAAATCAATAAAATAGATAAAACTTGAGAGAGGAAATTTGCTCACGTGCTTCGAATCGCTGATTAAAGAGCTCGAAACAGCGAAATTGCTAATACGCCATGAACAGCTCCCCTTTTTCAGAAAAGTTGTAAAAGTTCCGAGAAGGAAAGAAACAAAGAAAGAAAACAAAATAGCTGAGTAACATTCCTTTATGGGCAGATTTGTGTTATCAGCGGTAGTTTTAGCTGCGTTTAGGAGCTTCTCAAATTTGAATTTTCAATTAATTTATCATAAACGCTACACATCTATCACTATTCAAGTCAAGTACCTGAATCATGCCCCCTAAGGGTCTTAAACCTTTCGTGTTCCTGATCTGGTATTGGGATCTTATTCTTTTCCACGAGCCAGCCCTCGTCCTCAAAAGGTCCCGGATAAAATCCCCAGTTTCTTTCTTCCTTGTGGTCCATTGTAATGGGAACTAATTTCCCGGTTTTCCTCGCAAGAGTATCCACACTAGGATTCACCACCACAGCTAGTGGTGGAATCTCCTCCAAAGTGAGTCCTTCTCTTGAAAGCGAAAATTTTTGGGGGTAATTTTTCAAAAGTCCTTCCAGCTTTGCCAGTTGGTTCGAAGCTTTAGCGCCTCTGTCTTTGAGTTCAGTCTCTGGTAGACAACGATGCGTACGAAATATTGTATCGTCCACAACGATTCTATCTCGCCATTGGCGCGTGGTCTCCATGTCAGCTTCGTCTTGTTCTTGTTCTTTGGTGTCGCCGGCGGCGTGAACTGACGAACATGGATTTTTGTCAAAGAACGGAGGAGGAAGGGAAAGTAAATTCAGATCAGCATCTCTATAATCCCAGGGAAGTTCTCCCTGGTTAAGAAAGAACATAAAAGTCAATGTTAGATAAAAACGTGAAAAAACATTTGAAAACTGGTTGTAATATTTAAGGCCCTGTTAAGACTAGGTGCCTGTGCTCAGTTCTTGGAAACAGGCACTAGTCCTTATGTAATCTTTTGGTTGGTGCCAGAGAAAAATCTGAGCACCTTGCCCAGGCACGGGCACTTCCCAGGGGTAAAACTCAGGCACTGTTCCCGGGCTTGGGAACTTGTCTAGACACGTTTTCGTCTGTTCTTGCGTTTTTTCCCATAATGCAGGTACTAAAAATGGTGAATACAAATCACACACTACAAATGCAATGCTGTACACCAAGCCCTCTGGACGATTGCGAAGATAGTACTCGTTCCAGGGAACCGGGGGTCTGAAAAACGTCCATTTTGGTGCCTGGGGACGTTACCGCGGAACGGGTAACTGGTCTGAACGGGGCCTGAGTCAGTGGCTTAGTCCTAATTGACAAGTGTGACAATTCAAATGAAAGCTACCGGGCAGCTCTTTCATATGGTACCGCTTATCATCTTGTACAAGGTGGTTCTTACATTTTAGTTTTACTTTTGATGTACAACCATTCAAATAAAAGCTACATTCAAATGAAAGGGGTAAGTTTCTAAAAGAAAATGTGGTGCTTGCGTCGATGAGAGAGTATAAAAAAGGTTTATTTAGTATTATCAACTCAGTTGACAACGTAAATAGGTCACCGTAAAGAGTTTTAAAGCTGACGTTTCGAGCGTTAGCGCTGACGAAGGGCCAACGCTCGAAACGTCAGCTTTGAAACTTTTTACATTGGCCAATTTACGTAATCAACTCAGCTGATAATACTAAATTGAAAAGTTCTTTACTTTGGTATTGTTTGCTACGCTGAACAAGGAGGCTCTAAAAGTTTCACTCTGTGCATGAAAACCCTAACGTGTAGCCATTCCCATAAACACAGTACTGAGCATTTCGTCTATGTGGTGCTATCGCCTATGATATACAAGGTGGTTCTAACTGTAGACTGTATCTTTAGTGTTTGATCATCAACTAGAAAGCTACGAAACAGTGCAAGTCGTTGGACAATCTTACCTATCTACTGTTGGTTTAAGAATGTTGGCGTGTAAAATGTTCTCCTTCCATGGCTAGAATGATAATAAAAGAAACATTATGTCTCCCATTAAGGGAAGATAAAAGATGAGAAAAATTTCTGCTTCCATCACGAAAAGCTCCCCTCAAAGAGGCACTCAATGACAAAGATGAATTTGTCCCCAAAACCTTTACATAGTCATGTCAGTTTGTGTATTCTCCATACTGTTCCCCAACATTTCTTATCATACTGACATGGAGAATTTGTTTCTCAATCTAAATCCAGGGCTTCTATTTTTGGCGATCATTTCCTTTATTCTTGTGACCGTAATGGTTGATCTAGTGGTGATATCGTAGAGCTACGTTAGATGCTGCCAACTCTAAGGGATTAAGGGTGAAGTTACCATGAAAACACCCCACAGGTTGATCAGCCCGTGGAATTTTAATAGAACTAATGCAAAAAAAAAAAAAAAAAAAAGACAACAGCTTCTGAGCAAATATCAGAAAAACAAGTAAGGTTCGTCACTATGTTTTTCCATACCTTGCGAAGTTCGTCTACTCGGGCCGAGTCGGGTTTCCTAGGGTGAATATTTGAAACCAACGAGGTTTTCTTTCCTGGGAAAATGAATCCGTGTTCTGTTCTCCACAGTTTCTTGGAGGAGAGAAAATCTTGCTTCTTGACAGTTTCTGGATGAATAGGAAGAACTGTGGTTGAGTTGTACATGGGACAGTAAGTGAAACGGCGATCTCTGTCCTATGAGAAAAGGAAAACAAATAGATAAGTCAACAAATACTCAAATTTCCAAGCCTATTGAATTACAAAATGACAACTCATTGAACGTAGTAAAAACATGTTTGACACAGGAAAACACTCGTTTGTTGCACTGGAAACGCGTTTAGGACACGGTGGAAACGCGTTTGGGACACAACGAAAACGCGTTTAAAACTTAGTGAAAAGGCCTTGAAACGTGATTAGTTGGTTGGGTTTTTATTTGGCTTGGGTTATGCAAGAGTTCATATCTTCTTTCCGATCGTTCTCACTCACGCGCACGGATCTATTGTTAAAAATTTGCACACCACTTTTTATTATTTATTATTTATTCTTTTGCACATGTTTCAACAGAATTGGTTTCATGTAAGTGCAAACTCTGAAATGTGTATTGAGAACTGAGAGGTGTCAAATGTAGTCTGAGATGTGAGAAGAAGAGAGCAACTGTGAAATAATAGCAAGTGAGGTGAAGATTGGCAAAAGAGTTCCTGTTGCAGAATGAACGCGTTAAGAAAATATCGTCAAAAAATTTCATTTCAAAAATCGCTTGCTGAAGAAGAAAACAGATTAAAGGCTACTTAAAACCAAATAAAATACCTGCTTTTCAAGTAAGTTTCTTAGCTTTCTCTTTAGCCAGTTCATAGCAGAATTCAAGGTCACTATACTGTAGTTGTGTACGGTTTTGCGGTACTGGCTCAATTCATCCAGCGATGGTCTGTGATCTTCTCTTTAGCTCTGCCTGCCACGTTTTAGCTAGAAATAAACAGGTGAACGATAGATAAAGCAATTTTCAATGGAGATAGTAATTTGAAGGACTGCATTTGTTTCAACTTAACCGCCCTTAAGATTGGTCCAAAAAACTTGCAATCTCTCAACTAATCGAATACAAACTAAAACCAATCACGAACTTCGACGCCCGTGTTTTCCCCGCTTTGGGCAGTTCAACTGATTGGTCGTTGTGATTACTACACAGCTTGGTTTAAGCCAATCGAAATCGCGCTCAAAGTACGGCTCCAAAGTCAAAATGACTACATTTGAAATATTCTTAAAAGTCAAAATGTTTGCATTTGAGAAAATTCAGCGCCAAGTTTCTATTTGGAGAAAACTTACAGTGAAATACATCGACTTACTATATGTCCCGGATGAATCCGTGTTTTACCAGACTCTTTCTCTTTCTTTAACCAACGCGACGTATCTGATTATAAAGTGGACAGGGGCGTCCATGGTCGAGTAGTCCTGGGTCGAGGCTCCTCCAAAATTTTACCTGAACCAACCTCCTCAATTTGAGAGCCACTGCTGATTCAAGTTCGAAAGTAGAAGTTAGAGAAATATATTTACGCAGCAGAAATCAAACTGATCTCTTTCTATTCTTGAATCAGAGACAGTTTTAAAAGTAGAGAGGCGACCTCTTAAAGGCTCTGGATACCTTTAATAAAGATTGGAGAAAGTGTTTATTAGAAAAAGCGTGACTTTGAAGTAACACAACTTACATCAGTGACACGGAGCGGCATCACTAATCCAAGTCAAGAGACAAGAGAACGTCCTGCAACTTTCAAAGCAACTTTCAAGTAGAACTGAAACAGGAAAGAATTTCCATGCGAAGAAAAAGATTTTTACATCCTTGTAGCCGCAAGAATACACAGAAATGCAGTCGTAATCCAAAAGAAATAGGCATAGGATAGAAGAGAGAAGATCTGGAAAATTAAAAAGTTTAAAAGAGAAGCGAGTGGTTTAGCCAAACAAGAAAGTACAATTCAGTCAGTGAATACGATGGGGAAACAGGGTAAAAATAGGATACGATAAGCCAGAAGAAGAGTATGAGGCTCGCTGCGATAGCGCTACGAGCTACGAGCTACGCTATAAATACAATCCCTTCACTGGACATGTTATTTGTCCTCAAAAAAAAGAGGTAGGAATACAAATCTACGAAAAGAGCCTTCATTTCGAATATTAATTGACAGCAACTAAAGAATTTTTAAGGGGGTGGGTGTGCTTTAAATCAGCGATTGGGTGAAGGGTGGGTGAGGTATCACTAGATGTAATGGTTATAGTGACCGGAGCTAACATAAACGCACCTCAAAATCTTCTGCGGTCAGCGGTACTCCAAATTCGCGGCTCATAAAACGATCATGTCGGCGCGGATGGGAACAAATCATTTCGATAAACTTCGCGGTTTTGTTAACTTAACACCTGAAAAATTAAAGCACAAGACGGGTCATTGAAAACAACGGTTTAATCAGGGTGATCAACTGGTTTTCTGATGTGAAACTCAGGGGAAGGCATGTACTAAGATATCTATGGAAGATACCTTGTTCTAAAAAAGGAGCAAAGGACGTTAGAAAACTAAGCTGCCTCTTCGTTCACGAACATGGCGCTCAGACGTCAGGCATGCGCGAGGGATCAATTTTGACCTTATATTGCGCAAATGTCCCTCGCAAAATTCAAAAACCTGAAAACAACCTCGTTTGAGTACGAGTCTGGAAATGTCGCACCGTTAGGAGCGCAGGTGTTTAGAAAAATCATTCCGCTTGTCCGGGCGCGATCACTGAAGAAGAGGAACTGTGGCAGGAAGGCCAGTATATTGAGTGCAAGACTGAGAACTTCTTGCTCGCTTAATTATGAGTTTTGTGTAATCCTTTTTTCATGTACACCAGTTCGCGCTCATTTGACCGATGAAGAACACAGTCTGCGCGAAATTGCTCAAAGTTTCTTTGTCAAACAAATTTTCAAAAACCAACCTGATCAAGTTTCGCCAGTGCATCAAAACAAGGTTTGGGCGCAGGTCTGACGTGCACAGCAAAGTTTTGGACTATGACCTCCGGTAACCGTGAGAGGTCGGCTCGGCACCGTCCACATCGGGCACTGCGGCCAGCCAGTGGATCTCGTCAGAGTTGTGAGGAATGCCAATTATATGATATCCGAAAGAAATAATTTGTAAGCGTGTGAGTATGTGGTACAAATGCCAGCACGTAAGTAAGTGTTCCCTGAGTTTCCCACACATGAGCTGGTCGTATAA